ATGTTACGGAAATCTTTTGTTGTCAGTATTTACTCAAGCTTGAACAATTTAAAGGGGGAAAGAAACGACTTAAGAACTCTAAGGGGTTAGAGAGATGCTCAGGGGTTAAGAGCACTGGCTGCTTTTCCAGAGGACATGCGTGCGTTTCCTTCCCAGCCTCCACATGGTGACTCACCCCCATCTGTGACTCCAGTTCCAGGGAACAAGGGCACAGCACACGTGTGGTATCAGTCATACATGCAGGCAAAATGCCCATACACATAAAATACATTTAAAAATTGTGTTTTGATTTTTAAAGTTGAGGTTTCGGTTAATCTTTTTCAGCGTTAAAGTATACAGAGTTTTCGTGTGTGCGGGTTTTCCTTAATTCCTTATAAAGTTCTTGACCGTGGTGGGCAGTGCTGCACTTGTGAATGTTCTTCATCAGTGTAGCTGCGCCCCTGCCTTCTGAGACGCCCGTCCTTCACAGACTCCTGCGTGCCGTCCACTGTAGCGACTGTTGTGCTCACAGCTCATGTTGGCAGCAACGGCTGCCTTTGAAGATACATTTGTGTGTTCTTTTTAACTCACTAAAGCTGTAGTTCATCGTGTCATCAAAATGTGTCCTGCGGTTAGTGAAGGGGTCAGAGGACAGTTTCAGTTGCAGGCTGCTTGTCTGTGGAGGCAGAACAGGGTGCAGTTGTCCACCTCAGGCGATGGTGCTTCCAGGTGAGTTCCCAATGGGACTCAAGTGCAAACGACACTAGTATTCTTCTATGTCAGGCACACTTTTAATGTTTTCTTCTACATAAAGTTAACATAGTTATATTTAAGAATCTTGGGCTGGAGAGATGGCTCAGAGGTTAAGAGCACTGGCTGCTCTTCCAGAGGCCCTGAGTTCAAGTCCCAGCAACCACAGGGTGACTCACAACCATCTATGATGAGATCTGGTGCCCTCCTCTGGCGTGCAGGCATGCATGCAGACAGAACACTGCATATATAATAAATATGTAAATCTGAAGAATCTTTAAGGTGGAATTAGGTTTAACAATCACCTTAAATGGTTTGACAGGTGAAAGGAAGATGGGCTCAAGTGAGGAATATGTCTTCATATGAACTGAGATTCAACTCACGGTTTTGACTTTTAATTATATAGTGCGTAAGAGAAATTAAATGCATGATTGCAAGTTGGTTCAGGAATGGGGGGCTGTTGACAGGGAATTTTTCTTTGTGGTTGAAACTGAGATAGTATTTCGTTACTGGAGTAACTTTGGTCAGAGCAAACTGAAAATGACTAATATCATTCACCAATCTACTAGTGTTTAAAAAAAGCAATACTGTAGACTTAAGTTACGAATTGGTACTTACTAGAATAAAAAACTAGTTGACATTCTAGAATAAAAGCTTAGTCACTTTGCAAAGTCCTGGTGTTTTTGAGATATAGACGGTAGCAGCCATCTTAGAGGGTGGGTGGGAATGTGGTCCCTGTGTGTGCTCAGTGGACACTCACAGGGTCAGCTGCTGCTGTGCAGATGGTGGGGTCTCACGAGCTCATTTCCTCCTTAACTATTGGAGGGTTAAAATTCTCTTGGGCCTTGTCCTCCTATTGCTTGCCCCATCTCCTACAGAGCAAGGACTCTGGTCTTAAAATGCCCTGGGGCAGGCAGATTTACTTTCTTGAAACTATTACATTTGTGTGACTAGAGTGAAGCAGAACTCACGAGGCACCACTTGATATTGCAAACCTGCATTTTACCCTTCTTGGATTATAGAGTTTATTAGTGGAGTCTGTGAGACTTTTACCCTGGGCCTTGTGCTTGATGGGCCAGCTCTGTACCCTGACCTGTGTCTGCAGCCCAGAATAGTCTTGGGATTGAGTCCTCAGTATTTACATCTCCTTGGAGTCTGGGGAGAGAAGTGTCTAGAGTGTAATGACTGTAGAAGCCTTGACACTGAGGTGCTGGTGTATTCTCAAGGTGACTTTTAACACATAAGGAAACACATCTTGCACATTCAATTTTGAAATTTATTGGTTCGTCACAAAATGACTTTCTGTTTGTCTCAGCCACATGCTAAACATAGTGGGGCTTACTTTTTGATAAAAGTTACTATTGAATATTTTCATGTTCTGAAAATAAGTCAGTTGTAAGAAGGGCCATGCTGGAGCTCCACATTTTTATTGAATTAAAAGAATCCTAGAGGGAAAATCTGGTTGAGAGTTTTGTGGAAAGATGTTTTCTTGAGCCCAGGGCCTTGTAGGTGCTAGCTGAGCATCCTGTCATTGAGCTGCATCGCCCCTTACCTCTTAGAAGCTGCCCAGGCTGCGCTTGAACTCTCTCTTGCTTCGCCTCTAAGTAGCTGAGATCACAGCATACATTACTAACTTCTTCCCTCCCTTCCCTTTCCATTCCCTTATTCACTCCATTTTTTTTAGGATAGTTTATCAGACTGTTACCAGACACATGACTATTTGATTACAAGGCCTTCATCTGTATTCTAACTTAATTAAAACTGCAGTCATATAAATGACTGAGAAATATATTTTTTACAACTTTTCAAGTTAATTTGAGGTATTTAGTAAGCCTTATGTAGTAAAACTGACTAAACATGAAGTTTTTAATTTTAAGTATATATTTTTTCCTAGTGTGCCTGGGAAAGAAAACTATATTCTTTCCTATTCAATTGATAAGTTTCTTGCTCTCAGACAGTTGCTTTGTTTAATGGTTGCCTCTATATACTGCATTTGAGAGTTTTAGAAAAGGGGGCTTACAGCATTTGGTTGTTGGAAACATACAGGAATTATAACAGAATAGAATTTCAGAGGATTGTGCAGTTGTTTTTCATTTGGATTTGAGGCTAACAAGGCCTCTTAGGTATACGACAATTGAGATAGGCTTGAATGATTTAATATATCATTGACAAATTCATTCTATCTGGAAAGATGGACTGGGAGGAATCACAGGTACATGGCATATTTCAGAGACTGAAGTTGGAATTCAGGATACCAAAGTTGACAGGAATAAGTCTGCAAATAGTACATTTGATTGAGCTCTTTTGATGATGGGGTAAGAGGAAGGCATTTTGTCACCATTGGGGAATCTGAGCATATAGAGTTTGAACTTGGTGCTGGATGGGTGGCAGAGGGATGTGGGCACTGAAGGATCGTAGTGTTCATCCAGCTTGGAGGGTTAGGTGCCACGTGGGCAGTGATGTTCCTGGCAAAGATGGGAGTAACTGATCAAGTACAGGCAGGCAGGGAGGGGGGAAGCATGTGATTGGTAGTGACGATCAAGCTTAGGGCAGTTTGAAAGTACCCTGATGGTTTATTGTGTGGTTTGAGCAGAGAGTTTCCAGTATAAGTTGCAATTGGATTTGAGGTATTCTGTATGGGATCATGTCTTTTTTCCAGACTGGATTTTGGTTTTGGCTACTTTATTTTATTCTCTTATGGTCTGGTTGTTGGTGGTTGTAATCATCATCTGTTGGATGGATTTTGTATAATTTGAACTGTGTTCCAAGTATGCCTAAGTCATGGGATTGTGAAAAGCAAAGGTTAATAGTTCTCCCAGCTGTCCAAAATCTGTGATGACAGAATGCCGTAGAATGTGACAGGTTACATGTATTGTTTCTTAGACTTGAGCCTGAAGTTACTTTAGTTCAGAGTAATGCTTTATTGTTTTGTTTTTCATTGTTGTAAGGTTCTTTGTTGAATTATTTTTCACTTATTGTGACTAGTTAATGCAGGGTTAAATTCTAGATGTGACATGCCATCCTCTGAGATGCTTTCTGGAGTTTTTTTTTTTTTTCTGCAGACATAGTCACAGTTTGTTCTAGCTGTTTGGCTTATCAAAATTATTAGATAAGACTTTAGGGACATTGTCCCTAAAAACAATTTATTGCAGACTAATGACACAGAAATCCTATTAGAGAAAGTCTGTTCTGTGCAGCCCTGGCACTTTTATAAGTTTGCATCTTCAGCAGTTTTTTTGTTTACAAGCAGTAAATTATTGATTGAGTGACTTGTGAGGCAGGGTCTCAGTCCTGGCTAGTCTGGAGGTAGCCTGTGGTTGAAGCGACCTTTAGCTTCCACATTTAAGTGCTGGGATTGCAGGCCAGACCTGTGCCATCACGCCTGGTTAAGAAGTTATTTTTGATAGGCTTACTTTATTTAACCTTTTCTCTTTAGATTCCTGTGCCTTTTTTATTTTTACTTTTGTGATTATAATTACAAAATTTCTCCCCTTTCCTCCTTTCAAATCCTCATATATGTATTCCTCTCAGGTCTCCTTCAGATTTATGGCCTCTTTTTTCATTAGTTGTTATTACAGACATATATGAATATACAAATATATCCCTAAATATAACCCGCTCACTTGATATGCTTATTTTGATAGTTTGCCAAACAAAAGTCATGTCAGAATTGTATAAACAGGTTTCCAGATGTTCTTGCTTGTTTTTCATTTCTAGTTATTGTAGTTTTAGTATTAGTAGGAAGCATTTATGTGTCAAAATTTGCGTTTTTTTCTGTTATAGATATACTATAAACTTATGCCAGATTATGTGGATTCCAAATTCAGATGTTTTAAACTGGCTGCTGACTTTAAAAGTTTCTGAGCTCTTGGCGTGGTATATAAGCCAGTGTTTTCCAAAGCCAGTTTGGAAAGGAGTTGGTGAGAATGCAGACTCTTGCAGGGAGTGTGCTGTGCTGTGCTGTGCTGTCTCAGTTCTCAGGCAGTTAGCTGAGTGGTAGAAAGACAATCAGCATGTGCAGTGTGCTCCAGTGTGCACCCAGGCGAGAGCTGTATTAAATGATAAAGTGTCTCTTTCTGCAGAAAGCTAAGGAGTTCCTTCGAGACTTGTAATCATTGCAAAATTAAAACCAAGCCTATATAATTATAATTTGTAACAATCAGGAAAAGAAACTACTGTTAAAAAAGGTTATATAGGAATCTATTTTAAAAGGGTTGTATAGAGAGTTTTAATATTTCATTTTGTACAATTAAACTTTTTTCTTCTTCTAGTCCAAGTGGTAAGAAGTTCAGAAGTAAACCTCAGCTGGCAAGGTACCTGGGAAATGCCGTTGACCTCAGCAGTTTTGACTTCAGAACTGGCAAGATGATGCCTAGTAAATTACAGAAGAACAAGCAGAGACTGCGGAATGACCCTCTCAATCAGAACAAGGTTGGTAAATGTACTCGGGCACAGACATGCACCTCTCAAGCTCTCCACAGGTGTCCCATGTGACATCGAGATCTCTGTTGTCTGAGTGTCTCTCCTCGCTACAGAGAATATTAGAACTTTCAAGCAGGATTTGATTTTCTATATTTGGAAGTACTTGAACAGAGTAATTGTACAGGGTATGTCATTTCAGTATGTTGATAGATCATAGATCAGCAACATGTACTACACTTTGGATTTTTTAAGTATTTTTTTTCTGTTTCCTAAAAATAGGCAACATTACAACATAGTGTATAATTACATTGTAATTCTGAAGTTCAGAATTTGAGAGGGGCAGTGTGACTTTGAAGATTTGATGATACTGACTCCCAAGCATCATTAGTCTCATCCTCAAATTTTTTTCACCAGCCCTTAATTTTCTGGAGCTGCGTGGTTGATCATTCTACAGCAATAAAAAGAAGTCCACTGGAATATGCTAATTTAATTTGATTAAAGCTTTAGTATCTTTACCAAAAGGTCTATTGTTCCAAGGACAACTGGCCATATGTGACCCACAGACAGCTTGCTGCCTTGAATGGTTCCTCTAGGTTACCACCCTTGGTGCTGAGTCAGGAGTTAGGTAATGTCACCACTGCAGATGCCTAAGTCAATGATTTTAATGACACTGTTATCAGTTGTTAAAGGTTTTCATTCCCATGAATCTTAGGAGTCTGTATTTATGTTTTACCATCACCACTTTCTTACAACAGTCTTGTGAAAATAAAGAAGTAGAGGCATTTCATAGAATTTGATGCAACCCTGCTAGGCCCTCAGAAGTGAAGCATTCATTCAGGAACCAGGCTTTGCACTCAGGCAGGCATGGGCTTGGTGAACTGGCTGTGCTGTGCATTAGCTGATATGGTCTATGGTAGTGGAATATCTGATAGAGGCAGACAGCTCTCTGAAGTTGAAGCCTCTGAAGGCCTCAGGTGTTTTGTAGAATAGACTAATAAGATTTCTCCCATAGCATTATTGTGAAAACAAGTGGGAGTTTACATAAAAATATTTAGCAAAATATTGACCCCTGCTATTTCCTTTTTTCCCCCTCCCCTCCTTAACTGCCCCTCCTCCCTTAAATTGTAGTCATCTTGCTACGCACCAAGCTATCTTGCTTAGCATGGTGTTCACTAGAGAAAGCTTTTTGGTTCAGGCTCTTTTCCTCCTTGCCTTTTCCTTTTCTGAAGCACATACACACACTAGTGTACATGTGTGTGTATATATATATATATATATGTGTGTGTGTGTGTGTGTGTGTGTGTGTGTGTGTGTATACGACAATTCATATTGTCTAACACTGCCACTTGAAAACTGTAGCCACAGTGCTGCCCGAGTACCTACAGAAGGCCATAACTGTGAAATAGACAGTGCTTTTAAACTCTCCTGTTGTTCCCAGAATCACATTTTAGCCTCACTTAATGTAATTTGACGCTTTACTTCCTGACAGTGATGGTTCATTAAAAAGCAAACACTAATTGGTCTCTAGTTTGTGTGCACCCCTCTGCTCTAGCTGCTCTGGACTGCTCGCCCCTCCTCACCCTGCAGCATGGCATGCATTTTCAGGACCTGCTTGCTTCTGTGCTGTTCCCTCTGCTTGGAATGCGCTTCCCCTCCCCCTCCATCTGGCGAACTCCTCAGCTGAGGCTCAGCTCCATTGCCTTCATCTCTGGGAATCCTGTCCCTTCCTCCATGGTGACTGCTGTGCTTTGCCATGTGATTGTGCCTGTGCTTCAGCTAGACTGTGCGCTCTTCGGGAGCAGGGACTCTGTTTGGTTTTTCTTTTGTACAGTAGCCCCAAACCCTGCACACAGAAGCCTATTAAATAAATACTCGCTGTTTGATTTGCTAGCCACCAGATTGAAGAAGTTTATAGTGGTAATAAATGTTTACTTAATAAATTCATACAACACGAGTTTGGAAGTGCCTTTTGTTTTTATTGTTTTCTGACATTCTAAGTGGAGTGTGAGGTGCCTGGCCTTGCCTTGATCTGAGTTTTAAAAGTTTTGGGTAAGTAGCCATGAGGGGAGTTGTTGCAAGTTTCAAAGCAGACACCCTTTGGGAGTAACACTGTATCATTACAAGCAGGAAACATTTGTGGTGTAGTTAGCTGAGTGATGTTGTTTTTCCTGATAGTACTGTAGAAAGAGAGCTGACAGAAAACTCTAATGTAGTAAGCTTGGCTAATGTACATTATTCTGTTTTTTAATTTAAAAATTTATTTTTAGAACTGGAGGTACAGTCAACAAAGTAAGGTTTTAAAGAGTATTGATGTATGTCTTCTATAATAAAGAGGTTATTGCTAATGAATGGTATTTTCAAGTGTAATTGGAAAGACTACTCTGAAGAATTGAAGATTTTTTTTATTTTTGAGACTGGGTTTCTCTGTGTAGCTCTGGAGGCTGTCCTGGAACTAGCTCTTGTAGACCAGGCTGGTCTTGAATTCACAGAGATTTGCCTGCCTCTGCTTTCCCAGTGCTGGGATTAAAGGCATGCGGCACCACCGCCTGGCTACTTTGAAGATCCTTGCAAAATGGTTTTTAATTATATTCCAGTGGGTAAGGGATGGAGTGGGCATTGGCTTTGGGTTAACATACACTGCAGTTTTTGTTCTTGCTTTTCTCAAATTTAGACTTAATCTAACCCCCCAATTTGATTGCATTCTTGATTTCATTATACTTTATTGATTTTTCTTGCCACTGCTATAATTGGTTGCAGGCAACCCAATCTTTCAAGGTGATAAAATAGTTGAAATACCAATTGGGTTACTGAGGATCACACTGGAGCTAATGGGGACAGATGGCTCACAATAATGTGTAAGTGACCAACTAGGGTGTGGTGAAGTGATGGCAGTTTTCTCACAGTGCAGCATTCTGGGATGGAATTCTATTAGTTATAGCTACACCTGTGGCTAATGTGTGGATGTGTATGTCTGGTGCTTATCCTGTTGGACAGCACAGTTTTAGATGAAAGGGCAAAATCTTAGCTTCACATGTAAAATATTTTTGTGCATATATGTGTATATATATGCACCCCCAAAAAATACACTGAGAGATTTCCAAGATATCTCAAGGTTTAAGAGATAGGATTTGACATTTTAAGGAGTCAGTAGAGACAAGATGATAATTTTGGGTGGGCGAGATGGCTAAGCAGTTAAAGGCCATTGTTGCCAGGTGTGATGCTCTGAGTTACATTCCCAGGACCCATGTAAACGTGGAAGGGGAGGACACGTTTATGCACACGCACATGTGCTTGCATGAACGGTGGAAGAGGGAGGAGAGAGTAAATATTAATTTAAAACAAGATAATTTCTAAAATTCAGTTGGAGATATTCTGGAATGATCTATATTAGGTTGTAAATGCAAAGGATTTAGGGAACTTGGGAAGCTTGCTTGCATTAAAAATCCTACATTAAACTGAATTTCTTTTGTTTCTGTTTTTTAATACTGTAATATAAATGTTTTAAAAGTGAAGCTACAAAACTTAAAGTACGAATACCCTGATGTTAATATGCCCTACGATGTATTTTCCAAGTTGATATTTGTTAGTATTCAGGCATCTGTACTGGCCTCTCCTTGGAATTCTGATGATACATCCTCAGATGCAGCCACTAAGAGCACCACCTGTGCACATTCACTATGTTTCCTTTTAAAAGGACCCTGCCCACCTCCCATCCTTCTCTCTCTTTCTCTCTCCCCCATCTTCATCTCTCCCCCCCCACTGCTGCTCCTGTCTCCGGAGGCTGATCTCCCCCTTCCCATTTTCCCTTTTTATGATCCCTTTCCCTAATAACCCCTCTGCTTGAACCCTGTAGCATGGCATCTTTCTCTTGTGTGTTGCTTTTCTTAAATTATAACATTGTGTGGAGCAAGTCTTTTTCTGAGTTTAGCTTAGCAGCATTGCCACTCCCTTGGGAGTACGCAGTTCTTTAACTGGCTTCCTCTATGTACTCAGACCTGGTACTTTGGAAAGTAAAGCCATTCTATTCCTTTGGGAGAGATCAGTCCTGTGTCCAGTCTGCCATCTTTGATTCTTCACTAATTAGCTTGGGTAGTGGGAGTAGTTAGAATGTTACTGTGATTACAGGTGTAGAGTTGGGTAATATATGACTGTATCCTAGATTCTCAGACACACAGAAGATACTTGCTTCAATTATCCTCATCAAGTAATGAAACATACAATTTATAGCCCCGTAGTGTAACTTGGGGGCAATAGCTGTAGAGTTTAAAAAACATGTAAGTTAGTGACTTGGTTTGCACTTCAGTTTAGACTTACTTCGAAGTATGGAGACTGGATTAGAAAAGGGTGAAGCTGGAAGTAGGCAAGCTAATTGGGCTGTTTTAGTCCAGAGAAATAATGGCCCAAAATTAATGGCTTCTCAGGAGGTATAGAAAGAGAAGAATCAAGAGAAATCAGTAGATTTAAGTTCCTGCTGGTCACAGGGAGAATTGACGCTTTCTAAAATCGTGGCTTTAGTTACTGCTGTAGTTTGGTTGTAGTTTGTGTCCTAGAGGTTCCTGTCTGGAGACTTGGCCCTCAGCACTGTGATTTTAAGGTGGAAGAGCTGTTGACAGGGTGGCCTAGTGGGAAGTGTAAGTAATAGACTTCCACTTTGATAATGGGTTAATGCTAGCTTTTTGGAGCATTGTGGCATTCCTATAGCAGTGGCTTATTATCAAAAGAATGAACCTAGCCCTTCCCTGTTCACTTGCTTCTTTCTCTGTTTGCACACATGCTCCTTATGCTTGTAGACTGCTACTCTAAAGTAAGACAGCTGTGTGTGTGTGTGTGTGTGTGTGTGTGTGTGTGTGTGTGTGTGTGTGTGTATGAGCTGTCCATGGGGTGGTTGCTGGCAAGGGGACAACCCGTGGAGTGGGTTGGGGTGAAGCTGATGATGGAGTGACAGTAGTTGTATCTCTTAGGTTTCCTAAAGAGGAGCATGTTGGTTCTCATAAGTTCATTACTTGAGG